GATTGTGATGAGTTGTATGAGCCCCCAATAAAATGATTAAATATGTATATATATATTTCCAAGATGTTATTTACCATTAAACATTGAGGCAATAAAATACCAGCAAAATCTATCGTCTGCCCCTAAAATGTAGAATTCCAAAATTCAAACTCATTCTCCCAAGCAAACATGTCTTTTTAGGGCATGTAACCTACAGTCATTATATGCTTCAAACCCACTGCAGTGTTTCTGTCACTTTTCATTCAGATCTTTCCAAAATAATGTTTAATAACATAAAACCAGATAGCTATAAAAACTTTATATTTATTAGAAGGGTGTAACATCTGTCAACTTAGCCACTTTTCTTGAGCTTTATAATACGTTATCATCCTCAAAATCATCAAAACATTTTCCCGATCCCATAAAAGGTAGTAAATTTCACTGTCCCTAGTTCAGTTACAAAAACTCCTATCAGCAAGCTTCGAGGAGAGGATTTTACCGCCTGACGACTCTATGAATAGCTCAGTCTAGAGAGCTTTGTTCCCACACCAGGTAAATCAGCAGGAAGGGTTTACCTGGTTCCACAGGAATCTGAGGGCTTCTTCTTGCACACATTTTTTCACGCGCTCTTCGTCTCTTTCTTTTCTCAATCTACAAGAATTCAAAACACTTTACTAACACAAGGGAGGCGGTGTTTGATGTACACTTCCTGTTACAACTACTAAACATATGCAGTATGAAGTGATTAATATTCTGATAGTTCTTTCCAGTCTTAGGATTTCCAACCTGAAACTTTAGGTTTAAACTATGACTCAAAAGTAGAAACCAAATCAGATGTGGCTGAAATTTAGATGATATCAATCCTACCAAGTGTAGTCCTCGGGGCATATTGGTTTTTTTGTGTTGGGCTGTTTGAGCCCACCAGCCGCTCCCAGAGGAAAAGATGAGACTGTCTGCCTGCAGATTTACAGCCGCAGAAACCCCCGCGCTCGTAACTACACTGCCATGGCGGGTTGCTATGGATCAGAACTGACTTAGTAGCAGTGGGTCTTTAGGGAAGAGCCACTGATAAAAATGAAACATGAAGGGCTCTTTCGTTTCAATTTCCCACTCCCAACTACAAAGGGTAGTAGGTACTCAAAGGTACCAAAACTCTGTGTTTATTACACGTAGTCCCTGATTTATATTGTATTTGAGTTATGAGAAACCACACTTGCACTAGACCATCTTAAGAAAAATTCATCATTAGTAATATGTACTATAAACAAGGAGACTTCAAATATTCATGGAAAGTTTCATGTTGTAACTTTACTTTTCCATGAAACCCCCTAATGTAATGTTGCAATGCACAATTTGTTAATGTCATCAGAGCTCTAAGTTTATATATATTTCCAAATGCTAAAGAAAACTAAAGGTTGGATTTCTAAAGATACTGACAATAAAAGGCAGTGAGGAACACTGAAAAGAGAAAGCTGTTTTTAAAGGAGGTATTTGACTTGGGTCAGAACTGACTTACAATGAAGCTGTCAAACAGAACCCCATCGCAAGTCAGGGACTACCTATACTCAACCACCTCCTCCGAGTCTATTCACACAAGCCCCCACCCATGATCATTCATTAGTCGTCGCTATGAGCTCACACTCGCCATCTCCGCATTACGCTACTAGAAAGTCAATGTTTTCTAGTTATCCATTATCTCCCAGGCGGCCATCACTGCTCCAGGCTCTGACCCAATTCCACACTTTCTCTGGCCCTCAAACAACAACCTTGGGCTACATAAAATCAGTTCCCGTGGAGTTAATTTTGACTCATGTCAACCCCATGTGCTCCAGGTGGTTGTCAGTGGCTGATCCTTCAGAATTAGAATGCCAGACCTTTCTTCTGAGGCACCTCGGGTAGACGAGAAATTCCAAACTTGTGGCTGGCAGCTAAGCGTGTTAGCCATTTGCACCACACTGAGACTCCTTGTGCCATTCAGAACTATCATCAACCAACTCCCTTACAGACTCAGCATCTCCTTGGAGCTTTGCCGTAACCCAGCTAGACTCTTCACTAAGGGCATCTCAAAAAAAAAAAAAAAAACAAACACACTACTATCAAGTCCATGCTGACACATAGAGATCCTTATAGGACAGGGCAGAACTGCCCCAGTGAGTTTCCCAGACTGTAACTATTTACAGGAGCAGAGTCTCATCCTTCTCCCGGGGAGTGGATGGTGGTTTTGAACTGCTGACCTTGAGGATCACAGTGGAAGGCATGGTGTATTGGTTAAGCTTTGGACTGCGATTCGTATAGTCATCAGTTCAAAATAGCCAAGAGTATAAGCTTATTCTGAGTTCTGCGGATCCTTCTAACAAATCACTGAACCTGAGAGCAGTACTTGGGGCACCGACAGGGCTCCCATGACCTCTGGGTGCTAAGTCTACTGGGTGTTCTCTGTCCTGACGCCTCGTCCCTCCCGGAGCCCCTTGTTCTGTTGGGGTTGGGACACAGGCTCTCCTAGTTTCCTTCTCACTCTGGCTGCTCCTTCTCAGTCTCTTTTGCTGCCTCCTCCTCTTCTCCTTCATAACAGTAACAACTACTGGTTGAGGTACTAAACTCAATCTGTCAGGCACCCTACATCTCCTGGGTGGTCAGTGAGTAAAGCTTCTGAGCAATGGAATTAAAGAATAATTCTAACCATCGTCCCAGAATTTGGGCCCCTTTTGAGTCCGTGCTACTTTCATTAACTCTTACGATGTCATCTAGGTACTAGGTAGACTTTCCCATCTTCTCATTTTTATACTGTTTTCCCAAATTTTGGGTACCCTTCCATGATAGAATTATAGAGAAAGCTCTTCCATAATGCTCACCGTCATGCGCTCATCATTTATTGCTCCCCTGCATCTGTGCACCCATCTCTGCGCTGGGAACCGAGATGCGTACGATAGGCTCTGTCCTCAAGACGCGTTTGCTTTGTTGTGAAGTAAACCAGCAGTGTGAAAATGTATTCCCACCACACCAGAAATGACTCAGATTTGGAATCAGCTCTAGAAGTCTGACCCCACATACCAACAGCACTTAAGCAGGAATTTGGGCATACCTTCTTATTTCCTCCGTTAAGCAGACAATGTGTTCCTGCATTCTACGCAGCCGAATTTCGTATCGCACGTCTTTAGCTTGAGGATTGTAGTTCCGGGCATAGAAGCCCCGCCAACAAGCCTGAAGCTTGGTTGCTGCTTCATTCAATCTCTGGAGGTTGACGTCGTCTTGCCCCAGAGCAACTGGTCTCTGAGTTAAAATCCTACAGGAAAGTTTCTCTAAAGCTATTTGAGGTGTCGTTTCTTCACCCTCTGGTGGTGTGTGGGAGACACTGTGTCTCACTGACTCAGGAAAAGGTCTGAGATTAGGGCTGTCTTCTTTTAAGACAACACTGGTTATTGTTGGCTCAGCACATGGTAACAGCCCAGTTCTGTCATGTCCCTCTGTACTGATCTCACTTTGCATTATTTTAACAGAATTCTCGTTTGTGGCCCATAAAGCCTTTTCCTCTTCCTTTCCCAAGTCCTGGCTTTCTAGTCCTTTCACAGATTCCCCTGCAACGCCGTCATCGTCGAGGTCCAAGTTAATACCCTGCAGCCTCAGCTCAACTGTGGGCGAGACTGGGGATAACCCTGACGCAACTGGCATGAAAGTAGACTCTGAAGAGAGAAGACTACAGTTCAGCTTGTCCTCATCCGTCTGGATGTCTTCCAAGTGCAGGTCGTTTCGGGAGTACCTTGCTTGTACAGAGGCTGGAATGTTACTCTTAACAGCATACAACTGGTCGTCTTTATTGCTCATCCCAATCCAAGAATTGACTTGGATGACAGGTTCTAGAAGAATAAAGCATATCACTGACATTCCTAAACACTTAAAGAATTCACTTTCTTCGTATCCTTCTCATTAAATCTCCTCCATAAATTTAGTAAAATGCAACTAAATGCCTATGGTTTCTCTTCGCTCTACCTAAAATAACAAGCCAGACGTTCTGTAAGGAAAGCATACGTAATGCTAATCACAAGAATCAAAGCATCAGCTCGACACAAAAAGTTCTTGGAAAAAATCTATTTCCTTTTAATTACATTTTTCCATGAACGTTTTGAATTTCCTTGGTATTGACTAGCTAAAAATAAATTTTAACATAGGTACATTCTTCTGTGTTATGGTCCCCAACAGATCAACTTACCACTTTCCTGAACTACTTGGCAATCATGAACCGGACTCGAATGCCCAGATACTTGGGATAACCGTGTCTCAATAGGAGCAAGAGAAGGTAATTCTTCATTTTGGCTTTGACTCATCAGTTGTCTCTGATGAAACCTAAAAATCAACATCTGATATAATTTAACATAAAACAAACACATCTAAAAGCAAGGTAAGAAAGAGCTGAAAGTTCACGTTTTAAAAGAAGGTTGCTACCCTTCAAGTCTGAAACAGAACTAACTTCCACAATAGAATAAGCAATCATTTAAGATCAAATGGGCAGCACTTACCCAAGGACAAAGCTCAGGAGGTTAGGAAAGGGGAAACGGAAACAGGAAACACAAGGAGGAAGTGGGATCAATGATGGTACTTTGAGGGGTTGCAATAGATGAGCTGAAACAACATGTGTATGAACTTGCTGAAGGTAAAACTAATCATCAGCTCTATAAGCCTTACCCATTCATAATAAAACCTTTTTAAAAAATGCAGTGGCAAAATTTTTTTTTATCCAGTGGCATTGTCACAAATGAAAAAAAGAGTTATCTTTAATCATCTCCAAATTTTGAAGTCTCCTTTGAAAATACTGGATAGAAAAGGTTAGGAAACTCATTTTTAAGTTGTGCAGACACTGAATCTTTGATTCAGGGGAAAAAGGTAACTACTAAATGCTTCTAGCTATACTTAATGTTATTTATAAACCTGCATGAACATCTACATTAACAGGACAGATACATTTTTTAAATCTCCCTTTCTCCATACTGCTCAGCCCTCCCACTCAACAAGTGTTTAGCGGTGTGGTCCTCGTGGTGGGGTGGGCGGGACAGCACTGCATGCTCCAGCAGCCCTGCAGGGCTTTCACAGGGGCAAGGAGCCAAGTGTCCAGGAACAAATGGGGACACAGCACTTGCCTCCCCCTGTCTATCAGATCTACTCACCTGCAGAAAAGACTCAGAGGTATTTTCACGTATGAACTCATCGGCTGCTATAAGTAACTGGGCTTACCGCTGCTTACTCAGAATCTTCTCTAGCTTGGCATCCTCTGCAGTTTGAAGACCCACTGTGGACGTGAGAGGACACACAGTAGCCAAATACTGGACGAGCTGGATGTGTTGACTGGGTCGGTAAGCTCTCCCCTTGCCTTGACTGTACAACCATTCAGCTTTCAAACTGATATTGGGGGAAACAAAAGGGAAGGAAATGCCACTGAGATGGGCAAGACACATTGTGAAGCAAAATTGAATGATTTTTTAATTGATTGTTTTAATTGATCATTATACCACCACTTCATATTTTTCATTAATTAAATTCAACCATATATTTTTTTAAAAAGTCCTTTTGACTCAGTCCTCTTACTGGAAATGCTTTACATCTCTTTTCTTGCTTAGGGGCACTTCCATAGGACTGTATTAGTACTTTCCAATATTTTAAAATTATTTTCAAAGAAGAAATGATTGTTCACTCCATTTATTTTATCAAAATGGAAATGCCCAAATGCACTGATTGTGTTTAAATTCATGAATTCACAGCAATCGTATTTTTTTTAAATGAACTGGTAGAGAGTGTGAACCAGTAATGCATTATTTTAAGAATTTATAAATAAAAGGTGTGAAGTTCAATTAAAAAAAGGTAAGAAGTAAATATGATATTGTGTCTTTGGGAGCCCTGGTGGCATTGTGGGTTAGGGGTCAGCATTTCAGTCCCAAGGTCAGCATTCAAACCACCAGCAACTCTGCATAAGAAAGGCTCTCTGCCTCATTATTTTTTTAAATTCTACCTTTCCTATACAAACTGTAATAGGTGACCAAATAGTTACTGAATTACTTAATAGAAGCATTCTAGCTAATATTGAAATTAATGACTTAATTGCATTAAATTCACAAATGAAATTAATACTGAATTTCCCTAATGACGAATGAGGGAGCCCTGATGGTGCAGTGGTTAAAGCACTCTACTGTGAATGAAAAGATTCCGTGTGAGCCCACCCGTGGAAAAGGCTACGTCGTCTGCTTGCATCAAGACTTATCACCTAGGAGATCCTGTGGGGGTAGTTCTCTGTTAGTCGTCGATAGTCGGGGAATGACTTATTGCAGAAACCCTGGTGATGCAATGGATAAAGCACTGTCAAGCGAAAGGTCAGTGGTTCAAACCCACCCATCACTCTGTGGGAGAGGATGAGGCAGGCTGCTGCTGCGAAGATTTCAGCCTTGGAAACCCTGTGAGGCAGTTTATTCTTCTCTAAGGGCCCTGGTGGTGTACTGGGTTACAAGTTGGGCTGCCAACCACAAGGGCAACAGTTTGAAACCACCAGCTGCTCCGAAAGAGAAAGAGGAGGTCTTCTACTCCTGTACAGAGTGACAGTCTCAGAAGCCCACAGGGGCAGTTCTGCCTTGTCCTACAGGGAGCTATGAGTTAGCATGGACTACATGACAGTGCATTTAGTTTAGTTTATAGCAGTGGTTCTCAATCTGTGGGTCACGACCCCTTTGAGGGTTGAACGACCCTTTCACAGGGGTCACCTGATTCATAACAGTAACAAAATGACAGTTATGAAGTAGCTACGAAAATAATTTTATGATTGTGGGGTCACCACAACATGAAGAACTGTATTAAAGGGTTGGGCATTAGGAAGGTTGAGAACCACTGGTTTGTAGGGTCACTGTGATAAGAATAAACTCAGTGGCAATGAAGTAATAATAACTTAATGAATGTAGGCATGAATCTAGGCTAGTACAAAAAAGACAAAAACAGCAGGGTTCTTATCAACAAAAATCAGTTGGGCTCTTCTATACCAACAAGGAAAACCCTGAAAAGAAAACCAAAGGAGAAAAGATCTTTATAATAGCCCCCAACAGGGTAAGAACCTATGAATAAAGTTAAAAGGGGGCATAAAAGACATACAAGAAAACTAAAAAGCACAACTGCAAGAAACTCAATCTACATAAGACATCTAAATAAATGAAAAAATAGCCCATGCTCGTGGATCAAGAGACTCAACATTGTGAAAATGTCAATGCTACCCAAAACAATCTGAAGATGTAATGCAGTCCCTATCCAAATCCCAACAGGACTCTGTAATAAAAAGAAAAAGCTAATCATCAGCTTTCTATGGAAGGAAACATACCCAAACAGACAAAGTAACATAGAAGAAGAACGCCAAAGTAGGAGGACGTGAGGCCTGCTGTAAGATCAGAATAATCAAAACAGCTGGTACTGGTATAATGACAGATCCATAGACCCATGAAGTAGAAAATAAAATACCAAAATAAATGTATCCCTCTAAGATTGCTGATCTCTTAGAAAGGGTCAAAGTCCACTCACCATGGAAAACACCATCTCTGTGACAGATGGTGCTGGCAAAACTGGATATCCATTTGCAGATAATATGAAACAGGATTGATGCATTACACCATCCATAACATTTAGCCCAAAGTTGACCAAAGATCTGAATACTAAAGCTAAAACGATCCAATCCCTGGAAGCTAACATATGGCAGAACTAGGAGACCTGTTTTTGGTATACGCAGTGTGCATTAAACACAAGAAGAAATGCACGAGCAACAGAAGATAGATTAGCGCACTGTTGTTGGTAGGTGCCATCAAGTCGGCCAATAGCAACCCTGTGTTCCACAGAACGAAAGCTGCCTGGTCCTGCGGCAACCTCACAATCACTCGCATTTGAGCCCTCGATGCAGGCACGGTGTCAGTTCATCTTGTCAAAGGTCTTCCTCCTTTTTGCTGCTCCACTATTTCACTAAGCACGAAGTCCTTCTCCAGGGACTGGTCTCTCCGGACATGTCTAAAATGTGAGACCAAGTCTTGCTATCTTTGTCTCTAAAAAGCCCTCTGGCTGTACTTCTTCAAAGACACGTGTTGGTGCTTTTGGCAGTCCATGGTACGTGCAATGTTCTTGTCCAGCACCACAGTTCACACGCATCGATTCTTCTTCAGTGTTCCTGATTCAATGTCCACCTTTCACATGCAGATGAAGCAAGTGAAAGTATCATGGCTTGGGTCAGGTGTACCTTGGATAACTTTTGGTAAATAGTCAAGAATTTAACCAGTTGCTTTTTAAAAAAAACAAACCAGGGGCCTGTATGCTGTCAATTCGTAGCAACCCTATGTGACAGGGCAGAACTGCCCACAGGGTGGGTTGTTTGTTTGCTTGTTGCCCCATAGGGTTTTATAGGCTCTCATCTTACGGGAGCAGATCATCAGGTCTTTTCTCCCACAGAGCAACTGGGGGGTTTTCACCAGACTTGTCAGTTAGCAGTCTAGCACTTAATCACTGCGTCACCAGGGTTCCTCCCAGGGACTGGCCACCCTAAAGCTCCAAGTCTACTGAGCGTGTGTGACAATGGTACCCCATCCTACAGGGATTCCTGCTCCAAACCATAAAAACCAGCAATGATCTAGAGTTGAGGCAGTTCCAACTACTGTTGCTTTATAGATATGAGAAAGGGAAAATGAATAAGCATGTAAGTGACCAGTTCAAAACAGAAACTCTGTACATGTTTTCCCAGATTTGTTATTATGAAAGGTAGCTGGGTTTCAAGATATTATAATACTGCCCACAAGCTCTGGACTGCTAACTGAGAGGTAGGCCACTCAAATCTACCAGTTGCTGTGTGGGAAAGAGATGAGGCCATCTGCTCCTATAGACTTACAGCCTCAAATTCTTTATAGCATTGCTGGAACTGGACTAACTCAAAGGTGGTGGGTTCGGTTTCATTTTATGTAGATGATGGGTTTCAAGGAGCACCTATAACATAGTTTCTATGCAAAAACATGCTTCAAGCCCCAAACAACTGATTAACAAAAAGCTTTAAAAAATAAAATTGTTGTTTGTTGGGCAGTTAATTATACTCACTCGCCCCAAATCTGCAGGACTGGTCTTTCTTTTTTTTGGAAAGGACAGCCTTAAGTGACCAGCATATAATTTGCTACACAAATTGTACTAATAATTTTAGTTTCAAAATGTCATTTTAAGAACTATTCAGCTTAGTGAACCAGAAATGGTCTGTTTAGTAACTTGCATGATAAACGTGATGTTAGGAAGCCAATGTTCACCTTTCCTTCTGAGAAATCACATATCCATCTAGGACTCTGAGGTTTAAGCACCAGCTGACAATGTAGGGTCGATAGTCAAACCCTGGAATGGATGGTGTTGCCATCACACAAGGGTTGTTCATGATCGACAGCTGCTCCAGTTCGGTTAAGGATGCCAAGTAAGAGATCTGGAACAAAGGACATTTCTTAAATGAAACAGACTATTCAGTGTCAAGCACTGGGCTTCCGCTGATTACACATCTTTGGAAGCATTTGAAAATGTAACAACACCCCCCACCCTTGTTCTACAGAGTGACAAGCGACACCCTTCTATTATCCACTGACTTCCAAAATGCCTACAATATCGCCATCTGTTCTTGAAGCTCAAAGTCCTTTCAAAAGTATCAGCACCATTTTCTAGGAGAAAAAAACAACCCTACTTTAAAAACATAATAGCAGCCAGAAAAAGGCAGACAAAGATGTCTTATTTGTCTCTTTAACACAGAAGTCCCTCTACAACCAATCATTTCCCAATGAAATGATAATTACCGCACGGCAAATAAAACTAAGCCATAAAGATACACTGGCTTTAAGAAAAAGTGGACAGAAAATTAATGAGTGCCTAAGGTGAAGTGTTTCTTCTTCAGAACAGTTTCTTTCAAGATGTTCAGTCTAGAAGTGAGCTCAAAACCTCCTCCTGCATCACTCTTGGATTTTTTCAACTTCCTTGATCCCATGGAATATACTTAAAGTTTACCTCATTTAAGTCTCGGATTTCATTTTCTGCCAAGGAAAGTACAGCAAGGTTCCTGGGTAAATAAGCAGGTGCCATTCTGAGAGAGGTGATGATATTTCCATGTAAAAGCAGGGTCTTGAAAGCAAAAACAGGATGAATCACAAAACATTACAAATAAATACATCTATTGTAACAGCCCTTAACTGGTGTCAACAGATAAGAGTGATCCACGTTGTTACCCCTCTCCTGCACACAAGTGAAAGATGGCTACAGCTACGAGGCCGTCTGTGGTCTTCTGCTCCAACCACCTCTTTTCAGGGCAGCAGCCTTTCCGAATACATGTTTGGTGAGGAAATGAGCAATGTGCTAAGATTAAAATTATTAGACATCGAGTAATTTCCAGCATACTTGTCCACTTCCTTATTTAAAAAATCAAAATAGAGGGTACAAAAATATAAAAGGCTCATTACAACAATCATGCACACAGCAAATTTTTCAAAAGATAATCCACAACCCATAATTGGCAACTATATTTTCTTGATAGCTAAAAAATTCAAGGAAGGTAGAAGCTGAGATAGGAAGATAACTCAAATTAAGTCAGCAACAATCAAGAGAAATATAAGACTCTGAACCCCCAAGATTCTGCTAAGATAGCCATGCCTCTACTGGGGAAAAAGGCTCAATCATCTTTAGTTCATTCGCATTCTCTTGGCATCTGGCAACATCAAATCATTTACAATTACGTTGCTAAAAATGATTTCTACTAAAGATGTCAGGCAAAATGAGCTAAGACACATCTTTCAAAGCCTAATGGGTCCTTCTGATGCTAATAATTTCCAATAAAGCAAATACATGGAAAAAGCCTCACATGTTTCATGAAGCTATGATTCTAATTAATACTTATTTGATTACATAATGCATTCCCCTCCATAAAAGTGCTACAAGCTAAATGTTAATTTTTTTAATTAAAGTAAAATTAATTTCCATAATATATTAAAACTAAAAACAATTCTCAGTGTCAGAAACATTCAAATTCAGGGATGATGGCTCTCAGCCTCACTAATATACTATCAACTACGTAACATGAGCTACTAGCATTGGCTGATTGGCATGAAGGGAATTCCATCATGTTCAGAAGACATGACCAGAGAGAGGGCCATGACCAGTTTCACATAAAATAAAACAGTAATAGAAACTAACAACAAAAAGTTATCTACTGAGTTTCTGGTAAGCCAGTAGCATTTTTACCAACCAGCACAATCTGTTCTTCATATAGGGCAGGCTGGTTTCAGGACCATCAGATTACTTTATCTTGATTATCTTGATATAAAAAACATTTTAATGGCAATCGTTAGAAAATACACTTACCTTGAGAGATACCAGTTTAGACAGATCACCTATCTGTGGTATGTTGTTATCCGATAAATCAAGGTGCTGCAGAGCTGTGCAGCTATTAATTTGCTCCATGGCCTATAGCAAGAAACATGACATTATATTCTGTACAAAAAAATCAAAGTATGAAACTCTTCCCTATTCTTTTTAGCTAAAAGAGTTTCCTGCATCCTCCGTTCACCACTCGAAGCAGAGCAGACGGCTTAGCAAAAGAGGAGACATACTAACAGAATGTGATCAACTGTAATATCACACCAGCTTCCACCTTCATTAACATTTAAGAAACAGGCAGCTATCAAGGAGTGCATATCACCCCAAATATTTATAGCTTGACGAAACCTTAGAGACGGCACATGACAGTATAGGGCTTAAAAGTTATGCAAAGCCAGGCTGCCTGGAATTCAACCCTGGCTGTACAACTTCCTGGCTATGTGACCTTGTGCAAGTTACTTAGCTTTTCCATAATAACTATACTTACCTCATAGGTTATCATGAGAATGAATAAGTTAATACAGTTAAGATATCAGTAATATCTAAAATAAAAATATATTTTAAAAAACCCACCAAACTCACTACCATAAGTCAATTCTAACTCATGGCCACCCTGTAAGGCAAGGTAGAGCCTCTTTCGTGGATTTCCAAGACTGTAACTTTTTACAGGCCTGGAAACCTCGGCTGCAGCAGCTGGAGCAGCTGGTGGTTTCGAACTGCTGGCCTCATGGTTAGCAGCGCAACATGTAACCACGATGCAAAACTTAATTGCTCAATAAAAATCAATTACTAATATTATTTAATAATAGTTCCTTCATGTAGCATATCAGAAATCCAGATATGGAGATATTAACCCACTCAATACAACTACTGAGTGCATGGAAGTAGGGCCAGAATCCAGAACTCTTGATTGACTTTTTAAAACAGTTGCTTTTCGTTACACTCTTAAGGTTAATTTATAAAAATATAGTCTCCCGCCTAACACTTTATTTTACCATTTGATTTATTTCTCTAAGTATAACATAGGTTGTTTGCATTTTAAAAAATCATATTATATTGCTATATTAAATATTTCAAAATTAGATTTCCCCTAAATTTGTTAATGAAGACTATCCCTGGAAAGAGGAAGTACTCCAGCTATTTCCTCTACTTATTGCTATTCTGACTGACTTCATCTTTTCACAGTGAATGCTTCTGTAATTGAAAAAGAAAAATCACCTTGAGATTATTTCCTGCCAAATTCAGCCATTCCAAATGTACTAGTTCCTTGAGTCCTTCCACGTAGCCAATGCTATTATGAGGCAAATTCAACACCCGTAGTTGGGTCAGTTTGGCCACACCCATCATCCTTACCAGCCGATTATTAGCCACTGACAACTGTGGAAAAGAAACATCTCATTATTCTTGGAGATAAAATATAAATCGTACTGTTACAGTTGGACCAATGTCTTTTTAAAGGTATAATCAAGATTGGCTGCCAGTCGGTCTATTCCAACTCACGGTGAGCTCACAGGACAGAGCTGTCCCTTTGGAGTTCTCTGGCTTTACGTCTTTACAGCAGCAAAAAATCTCACTTAGAGCAGCGAGCAGTCCAAACTACTGCTGATTGAACTAGTTAGATGTTCAAAGTGTAGCCTACACCACCACCAGGATTCCTTTTAAATGGCCAAACTCAACCAGACCTCAAATCTCTGCCATGAAACCACAGAGCCAACCAATGTCTATGCACAGAGACCCTACAGGACAGGGCAGAACTGCCCCGTGGGTGTCTGGGGCCGTCACCCTGCCCAGGAGTAGAAAGCCCTGTCGCTCTCCCAAGGAGGGCTTGTGGTTTCAGCGGCTGACCTTATAGTTAGCAGCCCCACGTGTAACCACTGTGCCACTAGAGTGCCTTCAAATTGATCAAGCTTCCCCAAATATACAAAGCTGTACTTTCCACACCGTATATTATCTAATTATTCTACAATGCAAATATTAAGTCCCAAATAATTGTTTCTTTTCCTTTAACAATGGAAAATACAGATAAAGCTGAGCAATCTGATCTCTTAAAGAGAAATGTTTCAAACATTTTCAAGGAAGGAGAATGGAAAGAGGAGATACATGGAGGAAGTGAGATAAACGATATGACACTGAGGATGACAATGAACTAGATGAAACAGTATGTGTATGAATTATTGGGTTTAAACTGATATCTGTAAACTTTAATCCAAAGAAATATAACAATATTTGAAGTGTTTGCAGCTGGCAACGTAAGCTCCACAATAGCAGAGAACTTGCCAGGCCTTGAGCATTGTTATCAAGTTGATCCTGACGTCTGGCCATTATAAGAGAGGTCCAATAAATGTCTGTGGAACACGTGAACTCCATAACCCCATGAGTGAGGTGAAAGGTTATTTTCCCAAAACAAAAAGCAAAACTCATTCGCGTCAAGTCGATTCCAACTCACAGAGACCACGGTTATCTTTACAACACAATAGTGAGCCAACATAACGTGTTTTCTAACAATGTTTCTTCCTTCCAGTCCACCTAAATACAGCACATTTTCATCTGCATAAAAAAGTACCGTGCAAAAATTTCAGGCATTTCCTATACTCCAGGCCTGTAGAGTTATTTTTTATTTGATTATTTCATTGCTTTATTTTTGTTAAGTAAAACTGGCCCAATGTAACTATTCCTCTTGATAATAATACATACCTGTATTAATCGGCTGCATTTCTCAAGATTTTCCAATTTAATGATCTGGTTCTTATCCAGAATCAAAGTACGAATATCAGCTTCACAAGGTAAGTTTGGGCTTAATTTCTGTAGTCCTTGCCCTGACCAATTGACCACTGATCCTTGAGAGAGAGAGAGGAAAAGGTTGAAAAGCACAAATAAAGCAATATAATAGCTGTGTATCGGATGATGTTAGTGTCACTGCAGGAACCTATACATTTCAAAGTCAAGCTCTGTTGTTGCTCTGTGCCAGTCAGTCACTTCCTACTCACGAGTACGAGTCACCAGATACAATGTCAGATTTTTACTTTAAACCGATCTTGAGTTCCAAATGACCACAGATGGATATTTCTCACTTTTCTTCAGAAATATAACAGTACAGCTAGAGGTGTGATTTTTCTGCTCAAGGTTTCTGGAACACATGAGAAGTCTTCACATTGATAGATGACACACATATATATGTTCTGACGACGGAGAGAACGAAACTTTTTATTAAGATCAACCTGCTCACAACCTAACTTCTAGCATATTATCAAGTACCCAAGCTATTTTGAAAATTAAGATATAGTTCAGTTCTGTGAGGGAGAAAGGAAGGACAAAGGCTGTTAATTAAGAATTCACTGCCACCGAGACAATTCTCATTCGTGGGAACCCTATAGGACAGAGTAGACCTGCACTTTAGACTTTCCAAGGCTGCAACTCTTTAAGGGCGTAGAGAGCCTTACCCTTCACCCGGGGGAAGGGGGTGGTGTTATGCATAACCCACTGAGACACCCCATCAGCCTTCTTTTTTGGTCCACAGATGCCTTAGTACAGGTAAAATCCAAACTGCTTTCTTTTCAGTTGGATGGCAATATCGATTATGGTCCAAACCAGAACAATTTTTATAGTGACAGTGATGCTAAAATCATAAGTTGTAATCTTAAAAACTTGTGAACAAAAAAAGCCTTGTGGACTGTTCAAATTGTATTTTATTGTATTTGCAAGTCTATTTTAAAACTATTCTCAGAAATAAAAGTATGTCATAAAGTATAAAAACACTTCTGCCTTTCAGCAAACATTTTAAGTCTAGTTATTTGCACATTAAAAATAATATTAGCTGAAAATATTAACTAAATAGTCTACAAAGACATTATTAGGCATTTTCTTATTCAGGTACTTTGATTGTTCATGTACTTTAATCTGTTTTCTTAGGCCTGGTTGTCTCTATAAACATGTCTATGGTGTTTTTTCTGGGGAGTGTATTTTTCTCATTATGGTTCCATCATCCACTACTCTCACAAAATTGTCTGTGAGCTTCTACAAAGTCACTGTCTGAAAATTTTGACAAGTCCCGGTTCAAAGAGTCATTCTAACTCACCGCAGCCCTAGGGGGGGGCAGAGCGGACCTGCTCCCACAGGATGCAAACAGCCTGGTTTTCGCCCCTCGGCAGAGCAGGCTGATGGGTCTAGACCCTGTCCTTACAGTTCAGAGCCCAATGCTTAAGTCACTAGAGATCCGTTTAACCCTTCTTCAAAACAGAGAAGATACACCTATTTTATGACGCTCACGTGTGTATTAGAAGGAAGCCATATGAACGGCAACACGTCCTGATCTTGATACACAGCCTAAAGCACTTACGTCCCGGCTGCACGACTTATATGGGGGATGCTATTTATTTATTTATTTTTAATTTAACATTTTATTAGGGGCTCATACAACTGTTATCCCAATCCATACACACATCAATTGTGTAAAGCGTATTTGTACATCATTTCTCAAAACATTTTCTCTCCATTTAAACCCCCGACATTAGGTCCTCATTTTTCCCCTCCCTCCCTGCTCCCCCCTCCCACATGAGCCCTTGATAGTTTATAAATTGGTATTTTGTCATATCTTGCCCTGTCCAACGTCTCCCTTCATCCACTTTTCGGTTGTCTGTCCCCCAGGGAGGAGGTCACACACAGTTCCATGTAATCGGTTCCCTCTTTCCTACCCACTCTCCCTTTACCCTCCCTGTTTTGCCACTCACACCACTGGTCCTATAGGGCTCATCTACCCTGGATTCCCTGTATTTTCAGTTCCTATCTGTACCAGTGTACATCCTCTGGTCCAGCCAGTCTTGCAAGATGGAATTCGAGTCATGGTAGTGGGAGCGGGGAGGAAACCTTTAGGAACTAGAGGAAAGTTGTATTTCTCATCATTGTTACATCGCACCCTGACTGGCTCATCTCCTCCCCGAGACCCCTCTGCAAGGGGATTTGGAGCTCATGTGTCTACTCTGAAAAATGGAGATAATCCCTTCCCTATAAAGTTGTTCTACAAAGAAAATAAAGTCATGTATCCTCTGGCTCGTAAAAAGCGCTCTATACATGTAACTGCTAATTTGCCTGGGAGGACGCAGGAGGTGGAGCTTCACGAGAAATCGTGTCGGTTGGGGACCAGCCTGAGAAACTGCCAATTTCAAACTCAGACCCGGATAGGGACCGAGAGAAACGATGGCGCTGGAATGTCCCGGAGAGGTTTCAACGTTTTTCCGCCTCTAATGGCGCTTAGCCGAGAGGAGAGGGAGTGCAGGCTCCTCTGGAATCTGACGACAGCCAAGTACTGTCCACAGCCTTTGCAATTCCAGGGGGGGTGGCAGACCTCTCAGAACAGTGGCCTCGCCTCCTTCTCCCCGAAGAGTTGACAGGTCTCGGACAAGAAGCCCTCCTCGGTCTCCGCCGTGCAGCTGGGTCCCGAGCCCGCGCCTGACCCCGAACCGCAGCCTCGGAGCCGTAACCAAAACAAAGAAGGTCGCCTCACGCCCGGTGCCTCCGAGGTCCCTCCCAGCCAGAGCACGCGCGCCCCTCGGGCCGCAATCAAATCCCACCCCGGGACCCCCGATTTGCAGAAAGAGGGGTTCAAGCCCAACCACCCTCCCCATCGGCCAAAAGCCACTTCCGAAGAGGCTTCAACGTCAGTCTAGGGAAGGCTATTTGAGGCAGGGTTTCCTGAATGTTCTCAGAACTGAAGGGAAACGGTGACCAAAGATCAAAAGGAGAGGTTAAAATTTTCACTCGGACCAGGGAAACAAAAGCAAAGGTAGAGATGCTGCCGCCGCACTAAAACGCACCAGCCCCTGGAGCGCGGGAGCCAGGGCGCCAAGCCGCGCGGAGACCGCTGGGAACTGTAGTTCCTCCCTGGGCCCTCACCGGAAGGCTGGGGCATCGGACAGAACCTGGTGACTACAACTCCCAGAGGGCAGCGCGCCTCGCGACGCCCACAACCCCAATCCGAAAGAACTGGTCCAGAGCGGTCTGTATCCCTGAGCCTGGGCTCTCCGTCTTCGGCAGGCAACCATTTAACTCGGTGCGGTGGAATAAAGCTTGGGACTCCGAGGTAGGGCCCGACTGCCACTTACCCTCCCCGGGAGGCAAAGCCGCGTCGACGCGCGCCGCCGCCGCCATACTTGCCGCTTGCCAATACCAAGCAACCGTCCTCCAGCCTCTGTGGTGGAGCTTTTACTCGGGAGTCAGCCGGAAACTACAATTCCCAGGATGCACAGCACACTGACATCCTAATTGGCTGTTTAAACCAAGTGAAATAAAACCAGGATTAGAAATTGACCTGTAATGAGCTCGGGAATACTGGTCAACTCCCTCATTTGGCACATATATACAAACTGCATAATCATTTTTTTTAACATTTTATTAGGGGCTCATACAACTGTTATCCCAATCCATACACACATCAATTGTGTAAAGCGTATTTGTACATCATTTCTCAAAACATTTTCTCTCCATTTAAACCCCCGACATTAGGTCCTCATTTTTCCCCTCCCTCCCCGCTCCCCCCTCCCACATGAGCCCTTGATAGTTTATAAATGGGTATTTTGTCATATCTTGCCCTGTCGGACTTCTCCCTTCATCCACTTTTCGGTTGTCTGTCCCCCAGGGAGGAGGTCACACATAGTTCCATGTAATCGGTTCCCTCTTTCCTACCCATTCTCCCTTTACCCTCCCTGTTTTGCCACTCACACCACTGGTCCTATAGGGCTCATCCATCCTGGATTCCCTGTATTTTCAGTTCCTATCTGTACCAGTGTACCTCCTCTGGTCTAGCCAGTCTTGCAAGATAGAATTCGAGTCTTGGTAGTGGGAGCGGGGAGGAAACCTTTAGGAACTAGAGGAAGGTTGTATTTCTCATCATTGTTACATCGCACCCTGCCTGGCTCATCTCCTCCCCGAGACCCCTCTGCAAGGGGATCTCCAGTGGCCTACTAATGGGCTTTGGATCTCCACTCCACACTCCCCCCATCATTCACTTGCATAATCATTTTTATGCAGTTTTTCAAGCACCTTTTTCTAGGCACTTCTGAAATTTGACACTTTTACCATGGAAATGATTACAAAGAAGCTACTTGATGCAAATTGAATGTAAGGGTTCATAGATATGAGTCATGGGAACTGTCCCCACTAACAGGAATGACAAACAGTCAAATGGGTACGGTAATAAAACATTAGTTACATAAAAATATTTAAGGCATATTGAGATAGAAGCTTTTCGGCACCATACTATTTTGGTGCAGTTATTTGTGAACATTTAATAGATTTTTTTAACCTGTAGGTACATTTAATGAGTAAGTGTGTACCCAGAATTTTCCCAGAGAATTTACAAAAGAAATGTAAGATATATATGTTCTCCAAACTCAAGAATTACACTACCTAAATGAATGGGTAGACTCACACTCCCCCCCCCCCCCCCCCCCCCCCCCGCCATTATTTAGACCGTTTTATTAGCGCCAAGCCATTCCCCCACAATCCACCATGTCTGGTAGAGGGTATGTGAAATCTCATCCTCCAGGCCCCCTCTCCAAACCTGGACAGGTGGACATCTGTTCCTTCCAGATAACAAGTCAATATTAAGCTGCAGCCACAAGTAGATTCTCTTACTAGGGACCTGTCAGGCTCTCTGGAAAATCTGTTTGTAAAGTTGGCCTTCACAGAACATTTCCAGGTGGGGTTGATCCCCTTCCAGCCAGTGGGTCCAGCCTCTGCTCTTCTTTTCGCCCTCTGGACACAGGTGAGCCTGTCATTGTCCCATGTCATCAAGCTCTTGTATTTTCTGTTATCCAACCCTTTGTTATCCTCATCAAATTCTTCTCCAACTTTGAAGGTAACAATGTCGTTCCTTAGGCCGCTGTTTGTGTGGATAGTAAATGAATCCCATTCTGTTCTATCGCTTTCTATGCACTTTTAATAAGTTGCATGCGAACTGGTTTGATTGAACTAGGAATTCAGTATGATTTCAAAGAACGGCAATTGTAATCAATTGAGATGTGGTGGAGGAAGTGAAATTGAGCTAAAGTTTAAACGTTGAGTGAACTCTAAACAAGCTTAGAAGTAAACAGTTAAAAAGGCATGTGCATAGGCTACAAGTGAAAATGAAACTGCTGCAGTTAATAGCTGACATAATACCCCATTGGGCTTCAGGCCACACCCTCCCCTGGGCCTGCTTGCAGGGTGCCGACTGGCAGGTGCAGGTGTCACCCTTTGCGAGCTGGACTTGTGACCAGCCCTCCTGGTCCCAAAAGACACTGGTGCTTGAACTTGTTACAACTTCACAAATTACAATTCATCCCAACTAATCAAAGAACAACATTTTAAAAGTCCACTGATACCAACATTTTTCTACCTTCTGAAGTATAAGTGGCAGAAGTGGAACGTTCTTGAGCTGAGCATTGTGCCTGAATCACTGCAGACAACAGCACTAAGTATGCTTCCGTGCTGAATCTTCCTCGCCTGAACACTGACTGACTTTAGGAGCTGTTCCTCTTTAACTGTAAGTTTAGTGACTTCAAATCGCTGAGTAAGAGGAGGTATACCCCCCCCAAAAAACAAACAAACAAACAAAAAACAGAAAAGAAGCTGGAAAAAATAGGGAACCAGGAAGAAAACTCCTCTCTAGGACTGAACATTAAAGGGAGACTGGGCAGGCTGAAATGCTTAGTAGGTGACCACCTGGATCTTCGTGTTGAGTGGAAGTGGGAGAAATGCAGCAATAAAGAGACGGTTGACTGTGGCCAGTGACACCTGTGGACTTGGTTTACAGGAGCTAGAGAAGATGAGAGCAGGTTGCTGGTCTGAAGTTCATGGCCTAGCACAAGGGGCCTGGACTTGTTGCAAATTCGTGATGGGGCCATGGGCTAAGGGCAAGGTGACCAATGGGCACCCTGGTGAGGCTAAGTGAGGCAGCCCACACTGAGTTGACCAGAACCCAACCAGATGACGAGATTTTTGAGCACATGAACTGGTGCATATTGTTGCTGACTTTAGGGATGGCCTGTCCTAATTTGACTTTGCTTATGGATGCAGACTTCACAAGGTTCCAACTGGAATAAACATATTTCATGTCAAAAAATATGATTGTCTCCTCAGAGCACTGGGTTGATGTGGGAGACACTTCTCTCCCTTGACTCACTTCCTGGGAAACAGCCCTGAGGAGAAGCCACGTGGGCCTACCATGATACAGCCTTGGAAGCTGGAGACGCAACATGGAGACCCCTGCCAGCGCTGATGCTGACAACACCACTGGATCCAAAGACGTTCTACCCACTGGCCTGTGATCGTCCTGCATCCATCATCATTGCATGTGTCTCGTGAGTCTGAAGAGGACTTTATAGATTGGTATTGGACATATGGGCTAATATCGGACTTATGGGCTTGAACTGGACTAGGTTGGGATTCTTTCTTAATGTATAATTACCCTTTATATAAAACTCTTTCTCATACCAAAAAAATACCCCAGGAAAATCCCCACTGGGTGAAACTTTCCTACTATGCATTATCCCCCACCCCACTCACTAGGTGGGCATCTAGCAACTAGCTCTGAGTTAGTGCACCCAGTGGCTTCACTTGGGAAGGTTCTCTCTGGTCACAGTGAAATTTTTCATGAAAATAGTTTCACTCAAACCCTTTTTGTGTGTGTGATGGTCAGAAAAATGCTGCAGAAACTGTTGTGATATTGAACGCAGCTTACAAGGACAGCACTATGGGAAAAACTCAAGTGTATGAGTGATTTTCTCATTTCAAAAGAGGTGAAAGATCAATTGATGATAAACCTCCTTCTGGATGTCCGTCAACTTCCAGAGCAGACAAAAATGTCGACTCATAGTGCATTTGATGTCCTTCCACCAGGTCAGACTATTAAGCTTTCTATTTGGAGGTTCTGTAAAGATAGCATAACTGTGTGTGACCTAAAAAGGCTGATTTGTGGCAGATGGTGGACTGCTACCACAGCAATGCACCTGTTCATGCAGCCATCTCAGTGTGCCAGCTTTTGGCAAAAAACAGCATGCCTCTCTCGCTCCATGCACCTTACTCACCTGGCCTTGCTCTGTGCAACTTCTTTTTGTTTCCTGAAGTGAAGAGAGAGAGAAGGACAGCAATTTGAGGATGTAGATAGAAGAGGTGAAGGGAAACAATGAGGGAGGTGCTGTTAGCAGGACAAACAGATGAGTTTGAAAAATGTTTCCAAGAATGGAATCACAGATTTGATAATGTAATAAGTGTAATGGAGAGTACGTTGAAGGTCATAAGGTTGTTTTTTTAAAAAAAACTTCTGGGTTTGTTTGTTTGTTTGTTTGTCTTTGGAGGGGGTTACCCCTTGTATAGCACTTGTAACTACTCCTCAAGTTGCATTTAAAGATTTCTTTGAAGTGTTGGAAAGCAAGGAGGTTACTTTGAGGACTCAGGTGTGCCTGACCCAAGCCATGGTATTTTCTTTTCTTTCTTTTAAGCCATGGTATTTTCAACAGCCTCATATGCATGTGAAAGTTGGAGTAAGAAAAATGGTCTTTGAACTGTGGTATTGTGGAAGAATATTTAATTTAAGGTGGACTGCTAAAAGGGCATGTCTTGGAAGAAGTACAGCCAGAATGCTTCTTAGAGATCAAGATGGTGAGACTGCATCTCCCATACTTTGGACATGTCAGGAGAGACGAGTCCCTGGCAAAGGGCATCATGCTTGGCAAGGTAGAGGGGCAGCAAAAGAGAAGAAAGCGCTCGGCAAGACGGACTGACACGGTGGCTGCAGCAGTGGGCTCTGCAGCGGGAACGATGCGAGGACGGCAGGACCGGGCAGTGTTTCATTCTGCTGTGCACAGGGTCTGTGGATCGGAACTGACCGGATGGCACCTAGCAACAGCAAAAAGGCGAAAAAGAAGGACCTCACTGACACCCAGCAGAGCTGGAAGCAGAGCTTACCCTCTGAACTCAGGACCCTGCTCTGGGAGACTCTCAGACTCAGGAAACAGTGTGTGGGTTGGTGGGGGCAGAGGGAGTGAATTGTAACATCAGAGACAGCAAGATGGCACGAGGCAGCTGCAGCAGAGAATGGGCGGCAGGCGAACTGGGAGACGGGTATTTGGCGATGGAGCTAGGATCACCGACTCCCAGAGTGAGAGGACTGAGCATCTTTGGACCAAAGCCTCCCGGCA